CAAAAATATAATTAAAAGAGTTCCACATTCCTACAATATATTAACCCACTAGGGGGCACTGCTGGGACAGTCTGAAGCCTAGAAGGCACAGTAGGGACCCTCTGAAGCCATTTTATGGGACTGATAACGCCTAAAAACGTCCATTTCATCGATTGATAACATCAGAATCCCCTGAATATAGGATATGGTGGTCCGATAAGGAGCCATAAGACCCTTCCCTCAAATCAGGGCTAAAGGAGGACACATTTATCGGCCACATTGGAGGAGCCTTCGAATTCGGACAGCATTGTGACGTATAAGTGGCTGATGAATTCAGCCTTCGGAGGACCCAGCCTCTGAATTTGGACAAATACATTAATTCAACTCTGTCACTTTTAAAGGAATTGAACTAAACACAACAACAAACTCCAGTCACACATTCTTAGCTTAACAATATGAGTATTTATATGCCTTTTCTTTTTCTTAGCTGTCCTGATTTTGTTTTCCTTCTTCACTTTTTTAATCATGATTTTTTTWAATCAGMGTCAGGGATGCAGTGAGGCAGCAGAGCAATAAAACCTTTTCCTCTCTTTAGTTTCCATCAGATGTGGAGACAGGATGGGCAGAGGGAAGGCAAAGAGGTGGAGGAATGAAATAACAAGGCTAGGAACAAAATAAGTTCCTCCGCCACCCCTCAGTGACAGAAAAAGCCCACCCACATGACTCCAGCTGACGTTTAAATTAATGGTGTCAGACACTTTTCTGCCGACATACATTTTAGATTGTGCAGCTGCCAAACATCTGCAGATGTGACGACAGCTGGGATTTTCTTAATGCATCAAATTAAATGCAATGAACAGAGGAGAGCACATAATTCACTTAGTGTCTTTACTCTTTTTTTTTTTTTTTTTTTGCTCCTGAAACAATTAGTGATGGAAGAACATTTTTTTAATAAATGACATATTTTACTCCAACATTTGTTGGGGTACTGCCAGACCACGCCCACCTGCCAGACCACACCCACCTTACATCAAAGCCAATCAAGCAGTGAAATATTGCATCCAGATGATGGATGGATACAGGAGCAAAGAGAAAAAGGAGCAATAAAAACAAATAAAAAACAAAAGCACAAATTTTTTTTTCCAGATTAATAAAGCACAGAGATCCGTTTTAAGAGTTTGTTTGGGAGCTTTTAGAAGCTCCCAGATTTGTTAGAAAACTGCTGCTGAACTCGTCGAAGGTTTGTGTTGAGGCCGGCTGGAGGGTGAAAGGAAGCTCTATTGATCAGCTTTGACTTCAGCACCGTGGCCAATCAGCAGATGAATAGAGGTTAATGATCCTCCTCTCTGCAAGGATCCAAAACATAGATTGGCATTTAGTTCGATGGGACCTTGGCATTTATTTTAGCTGACCCTCTGTCACTCCTGGGGGGGTGGGGGGGGGACTAGTTAATGTAGCAAAGGCCAAACGGTCACTGAGAGGAGCTCCAACAGGCAGGATGGGTTCAAGGTTTTTATGGGATTGATTAAATAAACTTTTTGTCACAGCTCCGAAAAGAATAAACAAAGTCAAATCAGTGTAAAAATCTGCAACAACTTAACATCAGATGTTCTCTATCTGCTTAGAAATGTCAGTTTTTCAGAAATGTTTTATAATGTTCTGAAGTGGCAGGTTCTAAAGTTGCAGTCAGGAGTCCTTGTTTGTTGTTAAACACCAAAATAACTTAAACTAAAAGTGTTTCTTTTWATAGACATTGGTTTGTTACATTGTGTTACATAGTCTTTATTGAGCTATGATCCCTGCACGTTCCTCAATTGTTTGCAGAAAATATATAATTTTTTGCATCAAACTGCAAATCGTTTTCTTTTTTTATGTTTGAAAAGAGATAAACTACAACCAAAGCACATTTTGACTGTGTTTTCTTAGCCCTTCTTTATGGGGCGCCATTTGTAAAGCTACACTGCCAAAAATTACCAGCAACATTTAGCTTTATTTAGCTTTTCATAAGAAAAAATAGGGGAGCATTTTTCAAAGTAATATTTTTACCTTGATGTTCATACATTTATAAATATCATAGTTCCAAACTAAATATTTAATTTCCAAGCTAAATATTTAGCT